CGGACAAAAGGAGGGGTCGGATGAGGGCTTTTATAGGCATTCCATCTGCCGGCGGGGGGTTACCAAGCACGGCGCTCATCTTTCCACACGAAACTACACACATACTAACTACACACAACCACAACGCCATCGTCAGCAATACCGTTGGCCAAGGGCCGGTTTCCAGCTCCATCCGAAGCGGGGCTGTCCGCGTTTACCCAGCACGTGCCGTGTCGTCGACGGTAAATTTGACGCAGGCATTTTGAGAGATGGAGAAGGGTGGCCCAGGCAGCTCAGAGCGAATCACTACGGCCTGGACGGTATGAACTATGAGGGCTGTTGACGCAGTGGTGGATCTGGATGGCGCGGGCGGGGGGACAACTCGAGATGATGCAAAAATCAAGCCCTACAAAGTCGGATCGTCATGACACAACTCGGCTTAGAGACCATTGGTTTGGCCCTGTCCTCGAACTGGCAGTCTGGAGGAGTCACAGGTATCACCTAGAGAGTTTATGTGCCTGCCGGGTGTCCAGTTTTGGAAACCAGCCACGGGCAAAACCACTCATGACGACGGTTCCGAATGGGCTAACGGGCTCGTATGCAAGAACCACGTCGGCCGTGGACGGGACAGCAGCAAGAACAGCGCTGACCTGGGTTCTGCACTCGTCAACGGCAACGCTGATGTTCCCCCCTCGCTCTGCTCCCCGATACACACGAGGGGGACCATTCCGTTTCTGCTCACAGCGGCCGCCTTCTTGGCAACCTTCGCGTCATCGTGGCCGAGGGCCTCCTCCGCTCCGCATGCCCGACTCCTACAATCTTGACTCCAGTCTCGCTCAGAACCGCAGGGCTCACCTCGCCCGTGAATGCACCATCATCTTCCCAATGGCAGTCTTGGGCTCCGGGCCAGACGGGCACGTTGGAAGACTTGAGTTGTTCAATCGTTCCAGTCAGGGCCACAAAGTCCGGGGTGATGAGAATGTCAACACTGGACAGGGATTCTACCGAGGCTCTGGACAGGCAGTCTAGAAACCGTTTCGTGGCGTCGCGGTTCCTCGACAGCGAAAAATACATCTTTGTAGAGACGCCAACGAGCCGGCGAGCTGGCGGCGACGTGGGCATTTTGCGCACGGAACCCCCCCCCCCCCCCCCCCCCCCCCCC